GTGCTTAAGAACATTTAATAATTGTTTGAATTTATCAGTTTGGCGACTATACCAAAAGTCTGTTATTGCATAATAGACCTTTTCAAAAAAATTGAAAATGTGTATGGAATATTATCCATGTTATATATATAAAGAGGAAATTTGTAATTTAAATTAAGAATATGTTAAGAATTAAACCAAGTATGTTTAGTTTTATTTTTAAAGTATTGTAAGTGCTATCTCTATCTATATTAGTATTATGTAAATAGATGTGAGTGTTTCTTTAAGTGATATTAAGATTTAACTTTTAATATAAAGCAATATATTTTTCTGTTTATATATGATAATATTAGGATTTAATAACTCCTATCTAAAGCAATGTATTTGTCAATTTATATGTGAGAAAAAAATAAAGTGGCAATGAATCTTCTTCCACCCTCTTATTTTAGCTTGATTGTGTTAGTATTATCATATTTATATTTAGAGTAAACGACTTTTTCCTACCCAGATAATTACTTAATGACACTTTCTCACCCACAGACTTTTAAAATACCACTTTACTATCCAAATTTATATTCCATTTCTGATTCCGGCATTGTTGCAACCACTGACCACTACCATTCTCTCCCCGATCCTCACTCACTAAAACTCCTCAAACTCTACTTCCGTCGACCCTACCAATCACTGACAATCGAGTGATTAAGATTTGCACAGTCGTCCATCCTAAGTCAAATTCTAATAAATCCCAACCATTAAAATTCAACATTCCATCACCAAAATACTCATCGGCTTCCCCTCTTCAAAAGCTCCAACAACCTGGATAGTGTTTGCTCTATATTCGTCGCTGGAATGTAAAGTATGTGAGTGAAAAAGTATCATTAAACCATTATTTAAGTCGTTAACTCTTATATTTATTAAATTTCTTACATAATATTGATAAAAGAAATAGACTATGTATATAACTATACTTAAATTAATCAGGCAAATGTACAACTGATATGTTACTTAATCAAATATAAAATTCTCTTTAGGCCGAGGATACGTTTTCTAGACAAAGAGTATGATTCATAAATGGGTTGTCAAATTCAAGTAAACATACATTATAAATGCATAATATTCAAATTTGGGGAGACCGAAGTTGATCTGCTGAAACTCTAATTAATTAGTAAAACATTTATCTCTAATATGTAACTAATTAATTTTGTACCACAGCTTTTATACCTTCCTTTGACTAATTAATAGTTGAGATTCTTGATTGAATACTACTCTTAACGCATGTTTATCTTCATAATGAAATCTGGACAAATTCATAAAGCCGAAAACGGTGTAGCTATGTCAACCGCATTAATAAATTTAATTTATTTTTTCTAGATTAAATTGATAAAATGGTATTCAATTTGACAATTTCTTTGAATATATGTCTCGTTTAACATTATTAGTCAAAGGCATATTTACTTTTTCTCTATTAGTAGGAGTGAGATTCAGTAATGTTCACATAAATTAAATTAAATTACTATTTTCTCTAATTAGTTAAGTTGATAATAGCGAGTCAAATGGGCGTTTTATCACCTAATTCATGGAAAATTTTTCACAATTAATTAAATGGGTCAAGAAAATATATATAATCAGAAAGGTAGGTTCATTGATCAAAGATATGTTATTATAACAATTAGTGAAACAAAAAAAAACAAAAAAAACAAAAAAAAAAAAAAAAAAAAAAAAAAAAAAAAAAAAAAAAAAAAAAAAAACATGTGTAATCGACATCATTTTCTATTTCTAACATGTTTTGTACTCTAAATCAAACCGACAAAACTGCTATTTAACGGAAAAATTTGAGATAAATTAGAAGTTCCCAACACTCAATTAACATAGCCCTGTCTTGTATCAAAGCAAGTAGGATATTAAATAAGATATTTGTAGGGTTGATTTAATGAAAATAAATAAATAAACACTATTATTGGTATGAAAGCAATGAATCAAGATTCCCATATGATATAAGTTTTTTTGAACTTTCATAAATCTTGATACACGTTTACATTTATGAGCACATTGTTAGAAAATATCCTAATTGTGGGCTAACATTAATAATGTTTTGGTTTAATAAAACCGAGTAAATACATAGTTCAATGAGATATCTTGATGGACTTATGTGATCATTCCAGAATTTACCTAGTACATTTCATTTTGAATAATTTGGGTTGACGATAAGTGTAAGTTTGGGCCTGTAATGAGTTTTAGAGTTTATTAGATCTTTAATAGGAGGACCCAATAGATTGATATAAATTGGCTAGGGTCCCTTTCCAAACGCAATAGAACAACCAAACCCCATTTGGAACCAGTCATTTTGTGCGTTATTGGAAATGAAGACCTACGCTTTTTGTGTCTCTAAAGACTGACCACTACTTGTAGGGAATTCAAGGAATTCAAAAGTCATAATAGAATCAGATTTTTCTAATCCTTAATATTTAAATTCAATATTTGATAATCAATATGCAAATTATGGGATTGATTGTTAGAATTGGGTGAAATTCATGCTTGAATTCCTACACACATATCATATGTGGTTTTGATTTGATTTCGCGTTTTTAATTAGTTTTTATTAACCATCTGTACAGGGGTGTAGTCAATTTTTTTTTTTTTTATTTGGACAAATTTTTTTCTTGTACAATATATATTTATGGGTATAGGAAAAAATTATAATCAACCTTATCATTACAATAATACATATATATTGTTTAAAATATATTTTTTCATTATGATATAAATATTTAAAGAGAGTTTTTTTATAGAAAAGCAGAAGTAACTTGAAATCTTGAAGAATAAAACAGGTCACCAACAATGAATTAAAATAGTGTTGTAAGAATTAAATTTCTCTTTTAAAGATTGATTAAGAATTAAAGATTAATTATCGAGAAGAGTTAAAGAAAAATTACTGATGATTGCCATAAAAGATTATTTTTAAAAAAATTACTTACAGAGATGGAGATGATATTTAATAGTGAAAAAAATTAAAGAGATTTAATAATTAATTTATATAACCTAAGATTTTTTGTTTTCCAAACTAGCTGCGTGTAAGCGCTCCGCCTTTAAAAGCTTGTATTTTGTTTAAGATAGAAATAATCAATCCTGGAACAAGAGGAGGTTTCAATTTTAAGGCAGATTAAAATCCTGTCATGTTTGAGCTTTCTTGTGTTTTCCAGTAACATTAATCTTACAGGAATCACAAAACTATATATCTTAGGAAAATATATAATCATTACTAACTTATTACATGTGATAATTCAATTACTTTTCTGCGTTCAACCTAATCCACCATTGCTTCCTGTCAATGGCTTTATATTTCCCATCTTAATCATGGATTCCCACAGTTTCAAAGAAATGAGACTGGTTTTCCGCAAAACGCTCAACAATGGCTACAGTTTCGCTCCAGCAGTAGAAAACTCCGCTCAGTTTGCAAAAGATCAAGATTCTATTTCAGGTTTGTGAAATACCTCTGCTTCTCAAAATGTACAGGTTTATTTAACCGACAAATTTAGTTGAAATCCAATGATTGCTAGTTTACCCATTGATGAAAATAATAACAAATGATATATTTTAATATATAACGTTAGACTATATTAGACTTGATAATCTAACTCGAGCCTACATTAAATGTATGATTCAATAGTTTAATTAATGCTGTTAGACCATACGAGATGATGTATACTTGATAATCAAACAAATTTCTACGATTTTATGGTGGTTATTTTCATTAAACCGAGCCGGCCCTGGGTCTAGAAACTTAGGCCTAAGGTACACCCGAACCTAGCCTAGGCTTTGGTAGGAAGGCCTGGCCGGGTATATTAATGAGGTTTTGCAAAATAATAGATAACCCTTGTACAATTCTTGAGAACTCCATAACAAATTAAGACTGCCCCCTATTACATTAAAACCCTAATAAATCATCAAATTCCAGCCCCACCTTTTAAGTAAAATTTATAAAACCTCCTCATCATATCAACCAAACTAGGGGGTAAAGCCCGAGTAGGCCTTGCCCGGTCCTGGGTTGTAAAACTGGGGCTTTTTCCTTGGCCCAGCTTGCATTTAAAAAAAAAAAAAAAAAAAACCTGGGCCTAGCCTATGACATGACAATGTTGCTTTCACCTAATTGATGTAAATCAGATTAATACGATAACGCAAATCAATTTTACATCTATTTATAGATGAAAGCTGAAAATGGTGAAACTAAGTGAATATATTTAATAGATTTTATTTTTTCTTGATTGAATTAATAAATGGTATTTAATTTATTTTTGAATATGTCTCATTGAAATTATTGTAAGTTGAATATTTACTCTTAGTTTCCAATTAAGTATCTAATATATATATATATATATATATATTTATTTAAAAATCAATTTTCTCGTTTTGTGGAGTGAGATTCAGTATGTTCACATGAATTAAATTAAATTAAATTACTATTTTTTTCTTATCATTTTGATAAAAATGCTATTCAATGTATAATCCTAATTAATTAAATTGTGATAACGAGTCAAATGAGCATCTATGTTGGTTTGTTACCTAATTCATGGATAAATTTTCACGACTAAAATTTCCATTTTTGAAAGTGTGTGTATGTATATATTAATATATATAAATAAAAAATCCGTCTTATAATATGAAAAACTCTTGATCAGGGAGGTTTTTGATATCTTCTCATAATGCAGTTTTCTTGAGCTTTTCAATAACAATAATTTTTCACGGAATCACATAAATATACCAGCTTAATCAGGGAGAAATAATATAATTTATTTCTAAACTTATTACATGTGATCGACTTCAAAGAAGCCAAGCTAGCAAAAACCTGAAACAAAGTGACAAACTTACCATTCCAGATAATTCAATTAACTTTTCTACAGTTCAACCTAATCTCACCATTGCTTCCCGTCAATGTCTTTATATTTCCATCTTGATCATGGATTTACCAAAAATTTCAAAGAAATCAGATTGGTTTCCGCAAACGCTCAACTATGGCCACAGTTTCAGCACCAGGAGTAAAAATAACTCCTGGTCAGTTGCAGAAGACCAAAATTCCTTTTCAGGTTTGTGAAGTAGTTATTGTCAAAACCTTTAGGAGTTGTTGGATCAAGTTCGTTCAGAAAAGACGAATTCTCATCAGGCACCTTCCACGAAGGCTCCGCAAATATTTGGGATCCAAGCTTGGGTCTGCTTTCCTGTGCCACTGAAATTGTATAGACGGTGACTGAAAACAATGCTCTAGCACTCCCGAAGGTGTGTGCACCTGAGAAAGGTGTAAACTTTAGCATTATTGAAGAATACGTCGGATCTTGGTTATTAGTACTAGTAATAGTAAACAATTTTTGATCGTTATCTAACGTAAAAGATGAAATTTCTTTAAGAATTTTTTGCACAAGAAACTGTAAAGATTATGATTTTTCTTTTAGTATTTGTCATCGTCAACGATAATGTGAGTCTGCATGTAATCATAACATTTTTTCAATTTTATTAGAACTTCAAAGATGCAATGGAATTACCAGATGAACTACTAAGTCAGTGGTATCAAGTCCTTGATCTTTGAACTTTTGTGAAATTTCACAGAGGGTTTCCCTGGTGTCGGGATGGCACCATTTCCATTTATATTTCCATCCTGGAGTCTCTTCTCCTAGTTGCACTGCCATGTTGGACCTCCATCCTAAAAATTAATTAATAAAACTTGTTCACTTCAAAAATATTTTTCGTTAGTAAATACAGTTAAATCACTTGATCTAAAAGTTAACTGTGTGATCAATAATATAAAAGGAAGGTAGAAGTACCAAAGAAACCAAAATTTAAGATGCAAGGGCCACGATATCGGCACAGGAGAGAACGTCGGGGCAAGCGTTCTCCAGTAAAATTTAATATCATCAATACTACTAACCTATGTTACAAGTTGGATTGTCCATTTTTCTCGCTGTCTTTGCCGTTTGCGCGTCTAACAAAACGATGCATCACAGCCCTTTAAAAAAAAAAAATACATTGTGGAAAAATCATTAGTGCTTAAAAACCAGTAGATGGAGCACAATTGAGAGATAATATTGGAGATAATAGTTACAGTAACAGATTGCAGTTACAGTTACAGTTAACTTAGTTTAGTTGTTTATATTTTAGTTTGTTACAGTAAGCTAGAGCAGTTACATTGACTATAGTTAATTAACTGTCTTTAATCATAGTTAGTTACTGCAGTTATTGTATTGTTTGATTAAAAGGACTTCGATCCTTCACTGTAAAGTGTGACTGATAATGAAGTAATACAGCAGTTTCTTTTCTCCTCTGTTCTTTATCCTCTAACAGATAAGATGTGTAATTACATTGACAAAACAATCGTGGAAGTGAAGCCGGATGAGTTTGGCACCAATTCGAGCATCATTTTCTCTAGCTTTCTCAACCACACCACGCACAATGCCGACACATTTGGACATGTGTTACATAAAATGTTGGACTCAACTGGGCACTAGACGCCTCAAACATTATGGCAATGAAAAGAACATGGATGTGATCCGAAACCGACATTTTCTTTAGAAAAAAAAAAAGAAGATAATTTGAGTTAATGTTTTTGTTTTAGTAATTTTGTAATGGCTTGGTGCAGAGAGGACTATGCTGAGCCTTTATATAGTTGGACCTTGCTTGGACCTCAAGGGTTAGGCACATTATGGCCAAATAAAAATAAATAATAATCACATATTTTTTGAGTTACTAAATTTGATAAATTAATCCATGTGCTTCATACTTTCTGCATTATATTGTTTGATATAATGAAAAGGAAAATTGGCAACAAATTATATGTAAATTCAAGAGGCCTTTTATGGTACAATTGTTCTTGAATTTCTGCTGAAATGGGGTCAAGATGGATCAAAATTTGTTATAAGTTCCTTAATTTTAAATAAATCCCCTCATGTAGAACCCCTTCCATATTTATAATTAGCCACTATGAATTCACATCTTTTGATGGATATAATCATATAAACTTCTAAAGATAGGATATAATCTACGCGGTTTCAAAGATTTACAAATCCAAATTGTGTTGGAGATTAAATTTGATGTACAATATTCTTCGCACAATTTACTCCAAATTTAGTCAGCAATGTTACTTTTACCTAATTGATTTGATAATTCTTATATCAAAATCATATGTAAATTAAATTAATATGATAGTGCAAATCAATTGTTACATCAATTTGAAAAACAAATTGAAATTGTCTAATATATGCTACTCGATTCATCACATGAAGTAAAAATTCTAGCAAGGTAACAGTCGGTGGGAAAAAATGGCTCTTCTATCAATTGATGGTGGACAAAATGTCTTTGATATTTGAGCTGTGATAGAATCTTGTTCTAAATTAGTAACGCCATTATTCTTTTTCCCATAATGTCTTGAGGAATATAGTTGCCAACTGTGAAATTTTGATATTTTCTGCATAATATTTAGAAATAAATTAAACACATTGAGAAATTTTGGTACTTTTAGGTTGTACCAAAGCAGCTACATATATACATATGGCTATTTGTTTTTAGGGGTGTTCAAAAAAATGTTGAAACCGAACCGAACCGATAATTGAACTGAATTTTCGGTTATTCGAAAAACTGGTTCGGTTTCGGTTCAAAGAAAATAAAAAACCGAATTTTCGGTTCACTTACTGATTTGGGAGAATATGGAAACCGGTTTATTATAAAAATATTAAATTAAAATATAAAATAAAAATATATAATTTGTTATAAAAATATTAAATTTAAAAAAACATATTAAATATTAAATTAAAACCGGTTAACCAGTTTTTACTAACTGGTAAACCAATTTTTCGGCTAACCAAAAAATTGGTTTTCTCTTTAACCGGTTCGGTTTCAGTTCAGGAAAATTCTTGAACGGAAAAATTGGTTATACAATATATATATATAACCTCTCTATAGTTATATTTTATATAAGAATAATCTTTATATAGTCATAAAAATTTTTAATACTAACTTAGGCCAGTTATAAATAAGAATTAACTCACATTATCATAAATTATAATTTTTTTAAGTCCCGTCTTAAGGTACCTTTTTGGTGGCCATCGAAAATCGAATGTCAAAAATCGAAAATTGAAAATTGATAAGCAAATTGAAAATTGTTTTAATACAAATGTGTGCAACTCTATCATAATTAAATAGGTACCTTTTCGGTGGCCAAAGGAAAAAAAAAAAGAGAGAGAGAGAAAGAAAAATGCTACACTCGTGCAAAGTGGTCATCTCCAATAACATAAAGATAATGTCATATTCACATGAGTTCACACAGTAGAGTTTCCATTATGGCATAAATTTAATTACATTTCTCTGAATCAAGAAATTATAAATTCTTGCGCGTGACACTTTTTGGCATGCCAGGCTTTTAATAATAATATATTAATTGGAAATATGTGTGCTGTTTCTATTACTAAATATGACTAGAAAAATGACTCTCTAGTGAAGATCAGATTTTTATCATATGTGATCTTGGGTTAAAGTTACACTTATATCAATGAGGCACATTCAAGACCACATCAAGTTATCATATATTTTTATGGTTAGAGCTAATTGGCTGCAGAGGGCATAAAGTATTTGATTTTTGCATATTTTTAGACTGAGAGGATTTTGGCTCCAATTGGGGATCCTTTTGCCTAGCCTTCTGTGCCACACCTTGTACAGTGTTGGACAAATTTGGACATGACTTAGCATTATATTTTGGATTCAACTGATCACTCAGATACCCCAAATGTTAGAGTATTAGACTAACATTTGGGGTATCCGAGTGAGGGGGAGTGTTGGAGCCAGCCCCATTTGAGCTGAGTGATTGACCAGTGATCAGTGGTATTAAAATCAGTCCCATTTTGTCGGTCCACTTGCCTATGAATAGAAGTAGTTTGGCAGTCCACCGTTGGTCAATCACTCAACTCAAATGGGGCTGGCTCTAATACCACTTGTTAGTTTTTGGGTCTAACTCCTCACCCAAAAGGTCTTATTGAGTAGGAAGATTGTCCACTTTTATAAACCTATTGGCTTGAGCATACCTAGTCGATATGGGATCTCCAACAATGATAACTTAACATAGGACAATGAATACAAAAAGGGTTGAGATTAGATACATATTTTCAAGAATTTTTTTTTTAAAAAAAAAAAAGATGATATTAAAATTTTGCTTAAAAAGGCAGTATATAAGTTGAGCCCTTCACTAATATGGTTAATTTGTGAACTACAATAAGTTTCATATGAAGTAACTCCTAAATATTCACTCTTATATTCTGCAAATTTTTGTTATTTAAAAAACAATAAGTATGTTGGAAAACTCATAGGTGTTGCCAAAGGGTTAAAAGTGTAAAGTTGTCAAATGATAGGACTTTAGCAATATTGACCAAAGTGACGCCGTTTTTGTTTACGTTTAGAAATACAGTTGAGAAAGTTGTTAAGTGTTCTTACTTCGTATCCTTAATGGAAAGTTCTTGTATAGAAGGGAAAGTGTTCCCTTTCATTTGTTCAATCAAGCTTACTACAAAGTATCTCATTTTCTCTTCGAATTTCTTTCTCTCAAGTTTATTCATATGTCTTCACAAATTCACATGGTATCAGAGCTAATTTGACTAACGTCAATGGCTAAAAGCTCTTCCTCTTCACCATTACTTAACAGCACTAGAGAAATGCTACGAGATTCGGCCAATCGCACCACCTCACCTCTGGCTTCAAGCTTGCAGGTGATTAACCCTAAATTGATGAGGAACAACTTTCGATACTAGAGTTCTCAAGTTTTGTCAGTAGTCGACTCTCACGAGTTAGAAGACCATCTCTTAGGTAGAGTCCCTTATCCCTCGCCTATTCTAATTAATCAAGCTGATCTTGAAGATGAACTCAGTAAAATTCGAAGTGAACTTAAGGACAAAACAACACCTGTAAGTGAACGACTCAATCCAACTTATATTTTGTGGAAACAAACTGACAAATTCCTAGTAAGTTGGTTATTTGCATCAATTTCTGAGAGTATGTTCTATGTTGTCTCGAATTGTTACTCTTCTACTGAAATTTGGTTAGCCCTAGAGAAAGACATTGCAAGAAATATATTATATTGTGACAAAATTAATTTTATCAAATGCTATTTTGTCACGAGTAATATAGGTATTATGACAAAATAAAGAAACATCACATTAAATATAACAAAGAGAATATACAGTGACTAAAAAAATATTGTCATAATATTTTATCACAATAAAGAAACCCATAAGAAATATAGTGAGAAAAACATTTTTATCATAATATTTCGTCACAAATTTTGGCGCTTAGGTAAATTGTTTATTGCAACAAAAATACTCTGTTATAAAACATTTTAGTTACTAGATTTAGTTATACATGCTATAACTATAAATTATTTTGTCACAAAAAAATTATTTATTACTACAAAAAAAAAAATGTCATAATATATGTTGAAATAGAGGTATTAATGACAAAATGTTTGAGTCAAAATTTAAGCGTCGAGATAAATTGTTTATCATGATAAACATATTTGTCATAAAAAACTTTAGTCATTATATTTAATAACACATGCCATAATTACAAACTAATTTGTCATAAAAGAATTATTTATCATTACAAAAAAAAAAAAAATATATATCATCTATAAATGTTAAAATCGAGGTATTGT